AAAAAAAAGCAATGACAGATAGCCATAAACAGAACAGGAACAATCCATCAAACGAAGTTGCAAAATAGGAAACGCGAGAGAATCACGGCATGATCCAAAGTGACGAAGCAAGCATACGAGGGGACGCGAATAGCCGCTTTTTGGTCCCTTTCATCTGCCTCCACCCCCCTGTTCACCTGGGCTAACGCGAAACGAAGAGGACTAGCCAACACAGCAGAAGGAAGAAACTGATCCTATTTAGAGGTTGGCACAAATTAGGAGCAAGTGAGAGTTTTTTTCCTCCACCCCCCCAGGGAGATAACATTAGTAGCGCGATTACCTTCCCCCCTTTGCGAATTTAACGGCACTTCCTCCCAACCTCATGAGGGTTGTCACTCCCACTTTCTCCCCCTTCCTCCGTGCAGGCGACCCCCTTTCCAGATATTATCCACTTGAGCAAAATGAACAGTTCACCTGTTATCGTCGGTGGCATGAGGACACCTGCCAGGTTAGCGCGCTGTTATCAGAGCAAGTGGAGGACCCCACACACATACACTACCCCAGGGGAAACACCTCCCCCTAGTTGGGTGTCCGCCAACCTTAGAAGAAAACACTCACAACATAATTCACATGGCTTTTCCCCCATGACAGACGAAGACAGAGCACAGGATCAGCATCGAACAATGGCAAGCCGAGAGGAAGTAACAGTGGAAATGCGAACAGCATCGTCAAGTTCTATGGAGATGACTCACAAGGATTTAAATTGTAATGAAATGGATTCAAAGGAGTGTTAACGGAGCGTTTATGTAGCGCTTGCGTGAAGGCACTCCGTTTTGTATTCCCATGGTGTTCATATCATTTGGCATCTTCGTCTGTTTCTCCCTGTTGCCTCCCCCATGTGTACATATAAACCGCCTACTTGTGTACCATGACGCTGATGCACTCCTGCGCCATGACTCATTTATTATCCCCCTCCATCACCACCACCCCTCGTTGTAGAACCCCCCAAACGGTCCTTATCTCTACACTGATCTTCATGGCGACCGTAGTGATACTGCACATTATTAGCAAAATTTAAAAAAAAAAGAAGAAAACATACACACGCACGCACGCAGCCACGTGTGGGTGTATATATGAATGTACGAAGGATGACATTTCTATTTCCATCCCCTTGGGCAGATTTAAGGGTAAATCTCCCTCTGCTCCTATAACGCGAAAATGTCAAGAAAAGGGAAAAAAAAAAAAACTGTTTGCATGTTTTTATCCATTTAGGGTTCACCGACTTGTTCATTTATTCAGTTCACCATCTGTGAAATTCTTTTTTTTTTTTTTCGTTCACCAGAGTTCTGTTGTCTTCTCTGTGTGTGTCTGTATGAACAAGCGCATTGGAGAGTCCACATCCCTACGTGGAGAACACGACGCCCGTTGCGCATATGTCTGCCACGGTACAGAAAGAGACCTCCCCAATATACACCCTTGTGCTTGCTTTTTTTTTTTTTTTTTTACATTAAACAAAACAGGTACTAATTTAAATATATGTTTAGGCATAGTTATGGCGGGCACTCTGAGGCGCCCCTCCAATTTGACTTACACTTGATGGGAAACCCCCATTCGGAATGAAACGAAGAAGAAAAGAAAAAAAAGGCAACCTTGGTGGGGTATGGTAAATGCTAAGAGCTTCGAAGGTGTGCTCCCCTATTTTCGCACTTTCATTTTGTAATTTTTTTTTTTTCTATTTTTTTAATCGTGCAACGATCTGTTCATTTCTTCATTGAGGATTGCATTCTGCTCCTTCACCTTTTGGGCTTTTTCCAAGTAGAGGGAGAAGTAGCTGTCTAATCGCGGCATCTACATGGAGGGTGGAGAAAATTTTCCCGTCTGCTGATGCACCGTGGCGGCATGCGTGTCTACAGAACGGCATGTACATATGGACGTGTTCGGTACCGTCCTCTGCTAGCACAGTGCCGTGTGCATAAGCGCATTACCAGCTTTTCCAAATTCAGGACCTCTTCTTCATTCATCCAAGTCAGCTTATGGTTTTGGCTGCGTCAAATTTTAGGGTTAAGGGAGACGACACGGGTGAGTGGGCACAGACCAGGGGCACCTTCACCCCCTCTGCGGGGAGGCGTTACGTTCGATAATCATGCAAAATTTCTACATTTGACAGTTTCGCTGGATAGGTTTTTTTTTTTTTTCCCACTTGTCGACAAAGCACAGAAGCGGCTCGTCCTTCCCATCTTCATCCCTTTTGCCGATAAAAATGAAGCTCTTCTTCCCTGAGGGGAACTGACAAAATGGGGAAGTAAGGGGGGTGGTTTACACGCATGAAAGTATAAACGCGTTAATGTAGAATGTTCCCTCCATTGTGGGGATAGCAAACGAAGCGAACGATTTGTTTACGTGCCGGTGTGTGTGTACAGATGAAACTTCGATGTATACAAACGTATAAAACGTCCTTCTTACACGTATGTGCTCACCTTTATGGTTTTTATTTTATTTTTTGGAGGCCAGTAGATAAACCTTTTGTGAATTTGGAAAAGGCTCACCATGGTGTTCGTGCTTGTCTCTGTACAATTTTCCTCCCAATCGCGGTGAACATGGCGCAGCTGTTTGTTCCCTCGCGGAGAGGCAGCGTGCTTCTTCTGCTACGCCATCTATCACGTGAGTCGTCAAAGCTAAGCAGCACAAATGTATAGGTACGTACATACGCATGTATGCCGTTTGTACATATGCCGTTTGTTCATATGCCGTTTCGTGGTAATCAAAATTGTTCTCAACTCGCTTGTACACTTTTGGCCAGGCGGGCGATTTTGAAAATGAAAAGCGGCGTGCGATGGGGGTAGCGGCCCGAATGAGCCTTGCTGTCGACATTACTCCGAGTGGCGTCCCAGTTGGCGGTTTCGCGCCAGAGCTGCTCCGCGCACGCAGGAAAAGTGGCATTATAGGGGTGGAGGGCGCTCCAGGGTAAGCGTTGTGCGGGCACACGCAGGTGCCTATGCGACTATGTATGCTCGTAAGTATATACTCACATTGTTATTTATTTGTTTTTCTCCCTTTTTTTCGTTTCCCCTCTTTTTTTTTCCTTTCTTCCCCTCTGCGAAAACCCCAGCACGATGTTTTTGAAACTGTGCCAGGGCGGCCTGGCCCGAAGAGTCGCAAAGACCGTGCCCCGCGCGCCCGCGCAAAGGCGAGAAACGAGGACCTTCCGCTTTACAACGAAACTGAGCGAATTGCACACCCAAGATGGAGAAGTGGCTAGCTGCGAAAATGGAAAGAAAAAAAAAATTATGACCTGTTCAGGCGATTTTGTGGAAAAAGGAAAAAACACAGACATGCACTTGGAGCGAATGGAGCAGCGGCAGGGAGGTTTTTATGTGGACCGGACAAGGAGTTCCACCTGTGAGGGTGACCTGGACTACGTAGGGGAGGCCGCCCCGGGGGAAGAAAACACTTTTGATCGTGTTAACAAAGAAGGGGTGTCAGAAGAATACAAATTCATCTTCGAGAGGCCAAAGCACATTGCACACGTGGATGACGAACCAGTGGTGAGGAGACCAGGATGTATAATAGACATAAAAACTCTGTTAAGAAACAATTGGACCTTCCCAGCGGTGGGGTTTAATAGCAAGTTAGAAATCCCAGTGTACAAATTTGAATGTGGCCCTGAGGATGAAAACATAAAGTACGTGAGTGTGCCGAACGACATATTCGGGTTGCCCATCAGGCCGGACATACTACACAAGTGTTACTATTTTTACAGAACTGCCCTGGCAGGGTACACAGAGCGAATGCAACTGTACAAATGGGAGTGGCCAGGCAGCACGAAAAAGTATCGAAGTCAGAAGAAAAGTGGAAAAGCCAGAATGAATTGGAGAAAAACCTGCGGCCGCTATCTGGGGGTGAAAAACCATCCCCTTAGGCCATTCGACCAGAGGACCAAAATAAACAGAAAACTTCTCTGTAGGGGAATGAAAATTATCTTATCAGCCAAATTTGCTCAGGACCAAATAAAAGTCGTAGACAATTTTTTAATCAAATCACATAAGACGAAATATGCTGTCAAATATTTAAGAAATATTTTGGGGACCAACTGCAACAGCGCTCTGCTTGTCCATGAAGGAAAAACCGATGTTAACGACAATTTTTTTTGGGCGTGTGCAAATATAGCTAGCGTTAAAAGGGAAAATGTCCAAGGCGTGAACATTTATAACTTGCTGAAATATCGATATGTTGTCTTCACATATAAATCATTAAAAAATTTAATTTACGAACTGAAAACGTATCCATACAAAATGAAGTGGCTTCCTACATGTGCTACTCCAGACAATTCGGTGGCGCCTGTACCAGAGAAGGTTAAAAATTGGGACATAACTTGGAAGGAAAAGAAAAGGAGAAATAATTTCGCCTTCTTCGATAAAGAAGCTTTAAAAAAAAATATAGAAGAATGGAAATGGAGTAGCGATTTGAAAGGTCCTCTCAAGGTTAAGAAGAAGGACCCCTACAAGAATTTCATTTTGACGAAATTTTCCTGCCATGAGCCCCTTCCTGAATTTGTTAAATATGAGTACCTCTTCAATGTTGATGACTCTCTGGATGGTGCACACGGGGACGTCGCCGCGGATGCGGGGGGCATCCTCGAGGAGATGATGAACGATGATGACTTCTTGGAGGGACGCTCGGCGTTGTCCGCGCTCGGGCTGGGTGCAGCCGGTAGGCACTCCTGAGCTGTGTTAAGAGGCGTTGACGCAGCTCATCTGTGTTAAGCGGCGTTGACATTGTTCAGCTATCCCAACGGCTTTGCGCTGTGTTTCGCGTTCATTCGTGCGTTTCTCTTTTGCACCCCCTCATGTGCGCACCTCTGTTCCCCTTTTTAGAAAACGACCGAGGAGAAATGGGCAAGGAAGGAGTCCACGACGCAGACAGTGATGGCAACAGTGATGACAACAGTGATGGCAACAGTGATGACAACAGTGATGACAACAGTGATGGCAACAGTGATGACAACAGCGATGATAACTAGCATGGTGACCACAAAGGTCTGCACGACGGTGGAGACTATGCGGAGTACCCCAATGAGGAGCTCCCCCCGCGCATGCACAAATGTTCCATCATTTCGGGAGGGGTGCACCCCCCAAAAGGTCTAAAAGGTGAAACGTGAAAAAAAAAAAAAAAAAAAAAAAAATCAAGGCAAAGCAGAGCAGAGCAACGCAACAAAGTAACATCGAGCGCTGCTAACCTCTTGCGGTGGATCCCCACCCATTCAACCGAGCTACAGTGCGTCCAGCTTCCTCCTCCGTTTGGGACTTCCCCCCTCGTCATCGTCCGCAATCGCGCGAGTGGTGGAGAAATTTTCCTGCACAAAATTTATATAGCCATAAATACGAAGGAGGCTTAACTTCATCTTGTCGATGGCTATCTGCCGTCTTTTCAGTTGCACCTTCAGAATGTTAATGACATTATTAACACTCTGGTAGAATCTCAACTTGGCCAAAATGTGAAATAGATTTACGTGGACCTTAATCAACATTTTGATCTTGGTCTTGTCGTCCCGTCTGTTATTCACAATGTCGTCAAAAAGATCGAAGAAACAGTCTTTATATTTTTTATAAAGCTTAATAAATTCATTTTTCAAATTTTTTTTCTCGTCATATAGTAACTCATCACTATCTAGATTTTGGACTCTTCTCTCCACTTGGTGGTTAATCCCAAATACGTTGTAATTGCTTCTGAGGGGTAGTGGCGGGGGTCTCCCCAGCATCAATTGGCACGTCTTCTTGCTGTACTTTTCCTTCCCATCGATTGGTGCCTGGATGGGGGCATTCTCTGTAACGTCGTAAATGTTATACTGGTCCTTTATGCCGCATAACCAATGGCAGGCGTCGTCCGCGTGGTCTTCCCCTTCTTCGGTATCTTCCAGTTGGCTCACCTGCTCATCCGCAGCTACATACTCCTGGAAGTAGTACGGTGGCGGGGGGTAGCCTGACACGTACTTATCCGCCATGGGTCTTGTGGCGTCAA